TAAGAGGAAATGAAGTTATGTATAATGGTCATACTGGCCGTAAAATAAATGCTCAAGTCTTTTTAGGGCCCACTTATTATCAACGTTTAAAACATATGGTAGATGATAAAATTCACAGTAGAGCTCGGGGGCCTGTACAAATTCTAGTTAGACAACCTATGGAAGGAAGAGCAAGGTAAATCATATTTCTTTCACTCCTAACATTCATTTGTTCATATTAATGTCTTTGTGGTACTATATAATGTTCAGAGATGGAGGCTTGCGATTTGGTGAAATGGAACGTGATTGTCAAATTTCTCATGGAGCTGCACAATTCCTAAGAGAACGTTTGTTCGAAGTATCAGATCCATATCGGATACATATATGTAATTTTTGTGGTTTAATTGCTATAGCCAATTTAAGGAATAATACATTTGAATGCAAAGGATGTAAAAACAAAACACAAATTTCTCAAATTAGATTACCGTACGCGGCAAAATTACTCTTCCAAGAACTTATGGCTATGAATATTGCGCCTCGGTTAATGGTAGCATAAACATTGATAGAGTTTGTGCTTCCAAAATACTGGACTATAGGAATGTGCGGAATCTCAAGTTACCGATTCCGAATAGATTAAAAATATTTGGACATGGATAGTCTGATTCATGATTGAATTGACAGTATTCAGATGTTTTCATTTCCTATTAATTGTTGAATCTTCGGTTCTCAAACCAATCTCAAACCTAGATGTATCTAACGTATTTTGAAACTGAAGTTCCCAAACCTTGTGCGAATCCCGCATAGTCCTACTAGTCATACATTATAATATTATAAACGAAATGTAACAATATATAACGCATCCGAACTTCAAACTTTATAATAAATATCAAACATATTTTTTATTGTCCGTAATTTTATGTACCTTAAAATCATGCAATTATTTGTTTTTTAATTTAATATTATTTTAAAATATCAGTAACACAGTTCTTTATATCAGATATAACAGTGAAAGATATTTAGTCGATACATTGTTTCATTGTTTACTGCTTCTGTGTATTTACTTCAGTATCAATTTAAAAAATATATAACGAATAACTCACAAATAACTTTTATATTATTATTATTATTATTATTATTATTATTATTATTATTATTATTAT